TGATTTTATGTTTCTACTTTGTTTCTTCTCTCTAACTTTTAAAAATCTCAATTACTATTCCTATGTAAATGAGAAAGATTGATTTATGCTTCTCTTCACCACTTGATGGCAGCAAACTGCCATTCTTTTGAAACACTAATAAGACTATTTCTTAGTGTTACTATATTTGCATCCATCCTAAATTAATAAGAACCATTGCATGCCTATTATAATTATTATTTTGTGCCTCTCTATCGACTGGGAGACAGACACTTCATTAAAGTTCTCTCACTGCTGCCCTTTTTATTTGGTAAATGCAGCCCATCACACCACAACACAAGCCCCTTTCTGGGAATAATCTGCAAAAGTAAGGCAAAACTACAAGAGAACAGGACAAAAGTGCAGTAAATGTTCTCCCCACTAACCCAATTATTACAGTATGAGAGAGCATGGCAGAACAAAGCACAGGATCACTCAGGTTAAGAAAACTACAGGTTTTTTAACAACAGATTGGCTACTCAGACAACTGGTACATGATGTGTAAAAACTAATCATGTACAAATATTAATTCGATAACTGATTAAGTTGAAAAAGCAGTGAAATACAAAACGTTAAGCATGACTATATATTTTCAAATATTGTAATCAATGTTTTCAGGTTTTTATGCTGGAAATTGTCATCAAAATGTCATCCCTTTTGGTGACAAAACATGAAGGACTGCCTTCCTCCAACTCCTGTGCATAGGCTTCTATGGCAGAAAGTTTGATATGGAAAGGTCAAATGCAGCTTTAAATATCACCTTAATGCATGAGCACCAGCATAACAATGATGTTAAAGCTAACCAATTAAGCTGATTTTCCAAAGTCATTGATACAATGAAGCAGTTCACTATTTGGGAGCAGTGCCTCCTGGGTTTTGTTTGTTCTGTAAGCAGTGCTGCTGAGGCAAGGCTATTTGGGGAACCTTACTTGTGCATTTTCAAACTTTGTATTTTATTTTTTAAATGAACACTTAGCTTTCAGCTTCCTGCCTAACATCTAAGCCTTTGAGAAAAGCATAGTTTTCATCTGAAGAGGGACTATATAAAGATAAAATAACTCTGGGATCCTCTTAATGTCTCCATATAAATAGAATAAAAATCTGTCAGGATTGCAAACCTGGAATCTAAAAATTAAGATGGGCATCTTCCTTCTTATGCATTTTCACTAGCACTAGAGAAGCTGTAGTCAAATTAAGTTCTTTATTAAACCTATGCATCAACGTTAGCCTTATTACAATATACATAGCTGAGATCAAGGACAGCATATAACTTGTACACAATTATTGCATGGTTCCAAGTAAGGATGTTAAATATCGAGTCATTTACTAGTCGAGCCGGAGATGGAATTTCCATCGACTAGTTGATAGGCACTTGTACATTTCAAAGGAGGAATGTGGAACTCTGCATGCAGCCTAGGTCAGAGGGAAGTCCTGCTGTCTCAGGCTGTAGGCGGTGTACCAGCTTTGAAAATGTACAAGAGTTCCCAGCTGGGGCTCCTGTGCATTTCAAAGTGGAAGCACTCTCATGGAGCCTGGAGTCAGCGGGGGAGTCAGAGCTCCCCGCTGACCTCCCCAGTTGACTGCAGGTTCCACACAGCATTTCCCCAGAACTGGAATCAGCTGGGGGGATCCCCAGCTGACCCCGGGTTTCAAGCAAACGCTGTGCTGGCATTTCAAAGGGTCGCACAGAGCTGACCAGAGGTTGACCTTGAGGCGGCTTTTCAAAGGGGGCAGCGCCGCTCAGAGCCTGGGCTCAACTGTGCAGTGCTGCCCTTTTGAAGTACTTCCTCTTCCCCCCCTCTTTGCTGTCTCTATCAGATAGAGGCGGCGAGAGGGGGAGAGAGGGGAGGGAAGGAAATCAATTAGTCAATTCAACTATCCGATAAGCATTTGCTTATTGGATAGTCGACTACTCCTTAACATCCTTAGTTCCAAGACTACAAGTTGAGTATCCAGGGCTGGCAGTTTGACTTGTGAATTGAGAAAGTCTGACACTGTCACCCTACTCTATGTACATAGTGTAGTTGTTAGCTGGGTTGGTCCCAGTCCAGAGACCTGAAGAAGAGTCCTGTATGGCTCAAAAGCTTGCATCTTTCACCATGACAACTTGGTCCAATAAAAGATTACCCGACTCATCTTGTCTTTCTGAAATCCTCTATGAGAGACATGCACTTTGCTGTGTATAACCATACTAAGTAAGGCTTAACCCACCAATTCATTCCATCTTAATTAAAAAACAATAATAATAATAAAATTGCAGACACATGATTTAGCAATCTCTTATTTTCTTCCTCATGTGGCTTTTTCTCCAGCCCCAGAGTTCTGCCCTTGACACCATGCGGCTTTGTAAACTGATCACATATTATATGTTTGTTCCTAAAATTACTAATTTGCAAGATCAATAATTAACAGTTAATTATTTCCAGTCATTAATACAAATTTGAGAGGATGTGTAGCAGTGGTGGGTAAACTGTGACCTATCAGGCTAACCTGACCACAGGCTTCAGATGTTGACCATCCATAGCTACCACCGCCCCCTGTAGCCACATTTCTCTCTTGCTAGCCAACAGGAGCTGAGGAGATGGCACCTGCAGGCAAAGGGGCTGCAGGGATGTGCTGGCTGCTTTTTCCCGACCTGACTTGCAGCCTGTAGGCCACAGGTTGCCCACCACTGATTTACAGTAAATCAAACAGCAAGTAATGCACTAAGTCTTTAGGACTCCTATCACAACCTCTAATAAAAGCAGTAACAATCAACAAACAATCCAACTTTGCTTTCTATTAAAAATATGTAAAGGAAAAACTGGCCTAGTTTTCTTAGTACATTTTACCATGCATATTCATGGAAGCATGCCATGTGGCACCACTCTGCTGGCGAAGTGACCAAATCTCTAGATTAATTTGTAATGCGTGTAATGTTGCTGTCTACAGGGAGGGCTAATACCACCCAATATTTAAAGTTCACATAAATTAAGAACAGACCACAGCCTGTTTGCTTCTGGTTAACAAGATGCATCAAAATTACCTTTCGGCAGGTCTATTAAAAGGGATTACTACTGATCATGGAAAAAAATCAAATATGGTAACAGCAGACCATCAATTTTTCATGGAAATCAAAGACAATTACAACTGATTGATGACTTCATCAAATATTAACATGGAAGTTGAAAGGTAATAAAAGGGCAAGAGACTTGTGCATATTCAATACACACGAAACACTCACACGGCAATATCGTATGGCCCTGACTTCCATCACTAAGTAATGCTAAAGAAAAGGACAGATATGTTGTTTGCCCAGAACTAATAAAAAAAGGAGCAGTGTTTAGCTTTTGTGGTCACTGTTCTATGCTGGAAACTTTGATCTGTCAGAGTTCAAGATTTGTGTTATTGTTAAAAAGAAAATACGTGCATTGCAAGTACACCACTGAAGTGTAAAAGCTTATCTATAAAAATTAGGGTTACTGATTAATCACAGTGAACTAAAGCGACTAATTCAAAAAAATTAATTGCAATGGAACAGTTTTAATCATATGTTAAACACCCACTAAAAAATTAAATATCTTTAGATGTTCTTCTACATATTCTAATATATTCATTTAAAAAATGAACTGTACATGTTTACTTTCTATTATTACAAATATCTGAGCAATAAAAATTATACACGAAAATAGTGTTTTTCAATTCACCTTACACAAGTACTGTAGTCTCCATTATGACAGTGCAAGTTACAAATGTCGATTGTGTTTCTTTTTCCATTCTTTTTCCATTCTATATATGTAATAGATGCATTTTAAAATGGAGAAGTGGATATACTGAGTATTAACAAGCCAGTTGAAGGATACATTTTAATAGAGAAAAGAGTATGGAATGGAAGTTGCCTTATGTCTACTTGATGGCTATATGAAGTTCCCAATGTACAAGTGTTCTTAATAACACACCACAACCGATGCTCCCATTGAGAGTTTCAGCAATTGTTCAGAGGGTAGGTAAGAATAACAAGAAAAAACAAACACCACAACGCACCGAACTGGAACAAATGCAAAATGTATTCTCCCTCTACCCATTGTAGATTAGTATTTCACTCACCACAAGGTCACTACTATCATGCAACTTACATGGGTTCCCAAACTGTAGGGGCATGAAGAAATTCTGGGGGGGCATGAGGCGATCCAGCCTTCCCCTCCCCACTCCACCCCCACTCCATATCAAGTTTTGCTGCCCTGGTCAGGTTTTTTTTGCTCAACAAGGGGAGGGGGGGGCGGGTCTCAAAAATAAAAAAGGGGATATGCTGCTGAAAAGTTTGGGAACCACTGCACTAGGCAGAGATCAATTACCTGGTTTTAATTATGCTTACACATTAAAATAATGTGTTTTGAATATACAGTATTTACCAAAGGGGAAAAAAAGATTTTAGAACAAGTGTAAGATTCAGTCATTTGTGATACCTTTAACTTCATTGACTGCTAAGAAACAAATTTGATTTTATCACTGGATAACTAAACTAAAACCACTTAAAAATACAAAATGTTTTACACTGATTTCTTATCTAATATTCAGCTGTGTGCATTTAATAGCTAGTTGAAATCTTTTAAACAACTGGTTCATTTCCAATTACCTTTTTAATACTGAATCTGGATAAATGCAATCAAAATTATTCCTAATTCTAGTCAGGGAAAAGGAAGGAATTTATTTCTAAGACCTCCAATGAGGTGATATTTATTGTGTGCATGCAATTCAAGTAAACAACAAAATTGTGGCATTCTGGAAAGTTATTAGAGAAGGTATTAGAAGTGCTCTCCGTGGTTCATGTTAGACAGGACTGTTATACTTTCTAAAAATCATTCAAGGACACTTAAGCCACAGAAGGATTCCACCCACAACACAAGTCAGGATTTTTTACTAAATGTGGTCCTAGATGAAGCGTTATTGTCTCTGAATTAAAGACACTTATTTTGCTAGATACATTCAATTTCTTTTCTTACCCAAGATTCATGGTACAAAACTGTGAGAAGGTAGATTCCATAGTCATAGTTCTGTCTCCTTAAAGGACACCTGAAATTTAAAAACAAAGGATGCATTTTGAAATAGTCACTGTTTCCTTTTGGGAAATCAAGAACAAGTAGCTAAGATTTTTGTTTGCTTATTCTGTGCCCCAGACTATGGGAAGATTTTGTATTACTTCATTTCCTAGTCCATGGCTCATTGTACTTTTCTTAATTATATTTGACTTCTACAGATTTTTAGTCTTTTAGTATGTCGCCAAGGAAACATTTCTGCATTTGCTCATTGGGAGAAAGTTATAACAATAAACTAAAACCGATAGGGCACAACTTGAGCAACCATTCAAGTCTCTTTACACTATTGGACAGACAGCCAGCCTTCAATGAAATTCTGCTTTCACTGAGAACATGTAAGCGGATACAGCATGATGAGGAAAGCATGTTAGTCAGTGAGAGAAGAAAAACTAATACAAAACATTAAACATTAGCTTCTAATATAAGAAAACTCAGGTCAGCCTAATGCTAAGTTAGAGAAAGCGCTAAGTGTAAATAGACAGAAAAGAACAGCTGCTGTACAAATGATGAGGTGCACTTGTTGCCTCATGGCTAAGTGCTGGAGGTATTCATCAGGCACAAAGAGGTTGTATCTCTCAGAACCCAAGTAATATATCTTGAAACCAAAGGTGCTGCCACAAAGTCCAGAGATAGACTGAACTGCTTCCAAAACCAATATAAGGACACTAGACAGTCTCAATGCTTTGATTGAGCAAGCTGGTTATAACACAGTAGGTCTCTAATTCTCCCAGGGTATCTGCAGCCCTTTTTTCCCCCATGTTGAACGGCTTCTCTCTCTTCCTTCTATACAATAGGGTGCAGAAAGGAGAGTCCTTCTGTATTAAGTGATCTCCTGGGCTCAGGTAGGGCCTATATAGTACCTCTTTTGCTCCAAGCTCTCCAGTACTCCCACATTCCAGCAGAACAGGCAGTACAGCAGCCAGCCACTCTCTCACTCTCCATAAGGCAGCAGGTGGAGTCAGCAGGGAACAGAATATCCCTCATGCGCTCTCTTCCCAACGTTAGACCCAACTATACCTTGAAGTTACCACTCAGGATGTAAAATCCTGGTTAATCAGTTAAATGTTAGGTTAATCGACTAAGAGGGATCCAGGGGGCAGGACTGGAGCAGCTCCTGCCTGTAGCAGGACTAGACTAACCCCCTGCCTGCAGTACGCAGGGAGCTACTCCAGCCTCTACCAGTTCACCTTTCACATCCCTTGTTACCACCAAACTCTATAAACGTTTGAATGGGAAGGGCAATACAATTGATATCCATAAATATAATATTTGCTAAGCCAACAAATGTAAACATAACATACTTATACTACCAGCCTCCAGAGCAGGAGAGATATTGCATGTGCAATGTTGAGAGAGAGCCTAGAGATTCAAGCACCCACTTTAGAAAGTGTACCAGTGTCATATCAGGACAAGGTTTAGAGAAGCAGCTGGCTCGACATCTGAAATGGCTTTTTTTTTTGTGGGAGGGGGAGAGAGGAGAAAACTACTTGTATGGCACAATACAGGCAGTCCCCGGGTTACGTACAAAATAGGGACTGTAGGTTTGTTCTTAAGTTGAATCTGTATGTAAGTCGGAACTGGCATCCAGATTCAGCCGCTGAATCTGGACACCAGTTCTGACTTACATACAGATTCAACTTAAGAACCCCAGGCGTCCCCAAGTCAGCTGCTGCTGAAACTGATCAGCAGCTGATTCCAGGAAGCCTG